TCCGGGCGAAGATGAAGAGCGCCCGGCAGGGCGGCGAGAGCAGGTCCAGGTACAGCTCCAGCCCCATCCTGTCGCTGCTGCTTGCTGCCCGCTGCGGTCCCGTGCGGTCCTGTCCCGCCAGCAGTACCCCCCGCGATGGGATGGGACGGGCCGCGCCGCCCTCCCCGCCCACTGCCGAGCGGAGCACCAGCTCCGCCCTCCGCCCTTCCGTGCGGATGTGACAGCGCTGCTCGGGGCCAAGTTTCAACCAGGCTCTGCCACCTCACATCTGACCTCTGGCTTGCCCCAGTAACTGCCCTTAATCGCTTAATGATAAGGAACCCACAGCAGGGCTGGGGGACGTGGGTGCTCAAGAGGCAGAGGGAACTCACAGCTCTTGCACAAGAGGAATTTCCATTCCTGTGACTCCAGCAGCAGCCCAGATACCCGTGCTATGGAAAAACAGCTGGAGAACAAGTAAGCAGTCACACAGCAGGAAAACACCATGAAAATACACACTGCTTCATGGCTACAAAACCCCACATTGCTCCTGTCTTCACAAGATTCCACCACCCTTTCCACCACCCATCCCTTCAAGATTCCCAGCCCTTATTTTGTTCCAATAATGCATTGCTAATGCTGGTGTACATTTATCTTGCTTTACAAAACAATAAGCTGGAGCCTTTTCCTGCCTAAGGTCTTGAGAGGGCAGTTGAAGCTACATGGCAGTGCTCTCAGTATTCTCCCAGAGGCAGCTAAAAATACCAGTGGCATGTGTGAAACACAGACTTATGGCTTGCAGTGACACTAGCTGGCTCCAGGATGTTAGACATCAGACATTTCAGTCTGCATTAACACCAACCTAACACTTAATAATACTCCCAGTTACCACTGGTACTGAACATTAGAAGGAAACAACATAGGCAGCAAAAGGAAAAGGCACAAGACTGCAACAGTGAAAAATCCCTTCAACGACATCTCCATCCCAACCATAGAATATCCTGAGTTGGAAGGGACCCACAAGGATCATCAGGTCTAACTCCTGAGCCCAGGAATCTTTATCAGACAGTGGTTTAAATATATATATAAATATATATAGTATTTATTTAAAAGTTGCAGTCACTTCAGCCTAGCTCTTCCAACAGGCTTCTGCTACAGGCACTGTGCAGGTGTTTATGTGTTTGCAGACAGCTGCTTGTGCAGTAAGATGGAACCATCAGTTGTCCTAGTGCAGAAGTGAAGGCCCAGCCCTCATCATTGGAGGCAGCAGTTCGGTCAAGTCCAAGCTACAGAGTTGATGGTAGTTCTGCATATGCCAGTAGGATGCAAAGTCCTCTTCAAGACAATTGTATCTCAGAATTTATCTTTTTTTTTAACCCAGTAACTGAACTCTGTTCGCAGTGTCCTTGAAAGGGGAACAAGACCTGCAATAGTTGACTTCAGATATGATAAGGTTGAGGAGCCAACCACTCAGGTCCATTCAGGGACCACGACTCAGTATTACTGTGCTGGGGAGCAGTCCATGGCCTGTCCCACTCAGCTGCTCCAGCGCCACGAAACACAACTGTCTCAGCTTCCATCCACTCAGGCTCGTTTTTGTGCTCGCTCGTTCTGTTCAAAGTTAAAGTCAGAGAGGTGACTGAAGATGCCCCTGGCCTCAGACACATAGAAGGGACTTCAGAGGGGAACAGGACAATTTAATAATCCTTCCTGCCCCACTTCTCAAACATTCCTAGTCTACAACTCAAAATCGTTTTTCAAGGACAGACATTTATCAGGAGTCCCCAAATTAGAGAGCACAACACTTGCCCCAATCATGCAGCACAAAGTATATTACAGAGCCCTAGTTCACCCATCTGACAAGGTAAAGGGTACCCTGATTTCATCTGAAAGCTCTCAACCTTCGCACTGGTGTTTATGGGAGGCCTGCAGATAATGCTTCCCTGCCTTGGGATTCCCAGCTTCTACTCAGTATAGCTGTACATTACAGTCTTAAACTCTGGAATAACAAAAGGTTTAATCTCTGCATTTTGTTTGCAGTCCTCTGGGTAGTTGTCAAAATCCCAGCTCCAGAGGTAAAGAGAAAGGCAGAGGAGGAAAAAACCCCACCACAAATCACAGAATTATTTCAGTTGGAAAAGACCCTTAAGACCACTGAGTGCAACTGTTAATGCAGCACTGCCAAACTCACCACTTAGCCATGTCCCCAAGAGCCACATCTACTCAGCTTTAAAATCCCTCCAGGGCTGCTGCCTACCTTTAACAGAAAACCTCTCTCTCCCCTCCCCACCCTTTCTGAGTATTCCAAAAGGCTGCACCCACAAATGCTGGTTTCACAATCAAATGAAATTGTCTCAGTTTAAGGAAAGGATCCTGGACACCAATCCTTGTGCTAAGCATGAACTGCAATAAACAGTGCAAGTTGTAGTTTGATTTTTTAATTTTCTTCCCCTTTTCAATTACCTTGACTGTCTTCTCAAGCTCACACAGAGCTTCTTCATACTGCTGCACCAATGGCTTTAAGGAGTTGCCCTTCACTGGACGTTTCTTTATGTCCTGGATTCCAGCATCCCTCAACATCCGCAGGAACCGGCGTTCCTGTGTAACAAAACAGCACAGGAGATCAAACACCCCATGCCTACCAGCTAGAAAGTGAGCACATGCTGGATTGTGCTGCCTGGTCAGGAAATAATTGAAGTTTCCAATCGCACAGCTCAGCTGACTGGAAAAGGTGGGAAGTAATATGAACCTTATCTTCCTTATGCCCCTGCATCCATCCTTATCAAATGAATCCCACACCAAAGACATACCTGAATTCTAAGGACAAAGCTGAAAGCCACACCCACTTCTCCTGCACGAGCTGTTCTTCCAACTCTGAAAACACAAAAAGGAGTTTCAAGTCAGTTTAGCCCCACAGTCACAGCCAGTATCAACTCCAAGAGCCTGACCCTGAAATTCTCCAGACTTAAGTCCTATTCCAAGCAAAGCTATGGGCTTACTCTAGTGATGCTATGGGCTTAATTTTTGTTAGAAAGCTATTGGCATATTAATGTTTAAAAAGAAATAAAAGCCCTTTTAAGTGCGTATCACTTTTGCTAAACACTTCAAAGCAAACCAAGCTTAGACATCTTCCTTTTGTTCCTTACCGGTGAATGTATGTCCTGATGAACTGTGGCGCGTCATAGTTGATGACATAATTCACTCCCTTCACATCAATCCCTCGTGCAGTGGCATCTGTGCTGATTAACCTGGTTGTAAATGCATAGATAGTAATTTTCAGGTAACATCTCCAGCACTGCACACACAAGTGAAACAGAAGTGAACAGAGCACAAACTCTTGCTCATGTCTGTTCAAACTGGACAGTCAGTCTCTGTCTCTCAGCGTGGCAGGCAGCATTCTAAGTCACTCCTTACTGTCACTGGCATTATTAACTACCCACAGCCCTCCAAGCACCACTACAGGCCTGTTGTTCTCTGTTGTGTATGAGAAGCTATGTAGTGCTTCCAGGCTCTTCAAGCACGGGACACCAAGCCAGACAGCTCCCAGCACACTGGAGATTACAAACCTCTAAGGTATCTGAACATTCCATAAAGGCACTGAAGACTGATGGCGAGGTGTGAAATTCCAGTAGTCAAGGAGGAATTTAAACATCAAGTTTGGATAAAAAGAAAAAGTCTAAAAAGTAAGTATTTACCTCCTTCTCAGAGACATTCCACAGATAGAATCTCACACAGCTACAAAATCACAATGTAAATTAAACATATGGATGGAAGGAAACCTGTACACCAGTCTGAGCAGGGATTGCTTTGGTAACACCATAGTTGGTGCTTGAACCAACATCCCTTTCCTTCCCACAAGCACCAGATGCTCAGCACAGATATCAAACTCCAGATTTGCAAACCTGCGTGTTTTGGGCAACTCTGTGAACAAGCAGTTACATTTACTGCTTGGTATAAAGTAACACACAGAAATTCAGATTACAGCTGATTAGAACAGGCCAAGTTACATGCAGAATAAACAATTCGAAGTCACAAGTCCAAGCCACACCCATTCTGGAACAGGCTCCTGCATGCTCTGTGTCAGAGACTGTGACTGTGTCCTTGGTTCTGCCTAGCTTTACATGCTGGAAACAGCCTGTGTTGGAAGACATGCAGGAGACTCATTTAAGGTGCTCACAGTTGTATTTTCCCTTGTTCAAACTCCTTCATGGTTCTCCTTCTCTCCTTTGGAGGTAACCGAGAAGAAAACTCAGCCACTGTGACTCCACCAAAGGCTTGAACCAGCAGGAACAACCTGCAAGTAAACAGGATAGAAACAGTGACTTCTTTACCTCTGTAATATCACTTGACAGATACCTATAATAGTGATCTTGTATGTTTACCTGTGAGAAGCTTCCCTGGAGTTGGTAAAGCACAACACACGGGTGAACTTCATTGTCAGCATGAAATGCAAGAGGAGCAAAGGCTTGGAATTCAGGTCACAAGGCACGTAACATTGCTGCAGTCAACAGGGAAGAAGTTCAGAGAGAAAAATTACTTCTTGCCAAGACTACCTTCCCTGAAACTCACTACAACTGTCCATGACCTGCACAGGCTTGTATGTTCTACAACTGCCTAACAGCAGCAAACCCAGATCCCAAAATGCCACCTCCTTTAGACTAAGTCACAACTACAGGCTGGGAGGATACAACACAAGGTGGAGACAGGAGATCTGAGTTGTTCTAATGTTGTCACTTCTCCATAGCAAGTAACAACATGCACTGCCTTACTGTCTCCAGGCTGGGCTATATCTACATGCCTTGAAATGCATGTTGTACATATGGACAGTCAGCAAGTGCTACCACATTGCTACTACTTCATAATTCCACTCTCCATTGCTGTTAAACTTAATACCACATGAAGAGAAATTAATAAAAAAAAAATAGAATCCAGTCTTAACCAGATGAACATTAAGAAATGAGAAAACAAATGCACAAGGGGAGAGCTCTCTGGGTGATAAACACTCCCAAAGCCACTTTAGCCCAGCACATCTGTAGTGCAAGGAACCACAGGGAAGACAGATTTGTTTTATAGTAAAACTGTAACTAGATACTCCAGAATTAAACAAATCTAGCTTATTCAAGAGCAGTAACACCATACCGACAGCCCCTCGGGAAGGGTGTACTTCTTGTCAGTATCTGTTTCAGTCTCTGTTCCATCTCCGAGTGTTTTTCTCTCAGAGTAGACAGATGTGAAGAGGCGAGGCTGGAATAAGTCCAGCTGCTGCAGTTTCTCTGGGTCCTGGGTCAGCGTGGCTGAAAACAGCAGTTTCTGTAAGGGTATCTGAGGAGAGCAGGAGCTGAAAGAAACAACAGGTGCAAACCAGGCTTTGAGCATGGGGCAAAGGAGTTCCACCACAAGTGCCTTCAGATAATGTTATGAGGGAAGCAATTAACACTCTTTGATGCTCTTTTCCTGCCCTGGGTCTTTCCTGTAGGTTCTTTTCCACCCTTGTTTTATGTTCACAGCCAGAAATGATCAGCACACTCAATCAACTGCTCAACCTGCATCTGTTACCCCTGCACACATCCCTGCACCCTGCTTTCCAGTGTCCTCATTCCAGTCACTTCCTTCCTTGGCCACTGACCTCAGTTTGTGACACATCTCTACCACTGCTATATGAAAACAACAGCTGCAGACAGAAAATTGCAAGATTTTTCTTCCAGATCCATAACACAGCTTTGTCAGAGGGCATTACTATAGTTACTGTGCAAATGAATCCCAGATTTGCAATCATTCTTTAGTCTAGTTAAGGAAAGCTTGGAGAATACAATAGCCTCTAGTTTAAAGGATATCATCTACCATCAGCTGCTCCCTGCCTTACTGTGTGAGACATTTCTCAGAGGAAGTCAGCTTTGGGGTGCCTGTGAGACTGAAGCAGGGCTGGTGTCCATGCCACCAGTTCAAAGAAATGCATTCTGCAACTCACCTGGCTGCTGTTATAGGCCCTGGTTTGGTCCTCTGAAAAAGCATGTTGGAGTCAGAGTCATTTTCTACTCGGAATGCAGCTTTTACAATTTGGTTCAGACAGTTCTGGTGCATGTCATCGATCATACGGTCAGCTTCATCTACGATCTGAACTCACGAGGATGAAAAACACCACTTGTTAAATACTGGAAGCTTTTATTTTCCTTCTTAAAAATCTGTAACAAATGATCCAGAATGTAAGAGAATGGAAGCTTCTAGTCAATAGGATTGCTTTGTTTGCCCATCCTTAGTCCGAGTTTGCAAGAGGCTAAGCGAGGAGGGGGAAGTGGGTGGATGCTTGGGTGTCATGAGTTGGAATAAAACATCTCATCTTCTGACTGCTGCCTTCACAATCTGGAGCATAGAAAGACCCACAACAACAGTTCCAACAGGGGTGCATTTATGTTCCATGCAAGAACAAAGCAGGAATCACAGCTGCAACAGACCCTGCACTCAGATGGGAGACCTGCGGAGCTGACTCACCAGGAAACGAAGCTGCGTCAGGCTGAAGCCTGGGGTCTGGTTAATGTGATCTGTGAGTCTCCCTGGTGTGGCCACAACAATGTCAGCCAGGCTGCAGTAGCCTGTCACTCTGAAAGGACAAGCAGCCCATCAGTAAGTTTCTCCCTACCCCAGAAAGCATGTAACAGAGATCCTGAGTCAGCAGACCTTAAGGTTTTCCTATTGTTCAATTAACTGAGAAATAATAAAATTCAACTGTGGACTTGACTTTGGAGAGCACACAGAGGTGGCACTGAGTCACCAAACTTCAGTCTCCACTGCATGCACTGCCTCGTTTTAAACACAAAGTGTCATTCTTCATTGCTCTTAAAAAAAAGCTCAATTGCAGCAAAATCTCAGTGTCATTTGTACCTGTGGGCATAAGGTAAACATTTGCATTCTATTCAGCTGGTGAAGAACCCCAAAAATCTGCTAAAACACATCACAAAAAAGGTGCAGTAGCAGGCACTTTGTCAAAGAACCACCAGTGTCCCCCTATCCAAAATCATAACATGATGCTGCAATAGCCTATATTTTGACCTCTGCTTAATAAGATTAATTAGCTTACAATCTCTATAAACCTTATCAAAATACTTTTAACCTACTTTTTCTGGACAAGCATCTCCTGCTCCCTTGCAAAAGGTTTCTGGCCAGTAATCAAAACGGCCTTCAGCCCCGTCCCGTCAGTGTAAATGTTGAACACTTTACTCACCTGCAAAGAGATAGACTTTGTCAGCTGCCACAAAATCAGCTGCAGTAATACTTTCCATTACACTAACAACATCAAACTCACTGACAGGTCTCCAATCTGCTTCACAGAACAGCCAAACTACTGCCTGCAGCAGCCTGTCCCTCAGCCCAGTTCTGCTCAGAGATGGGGAAGAGCACATACCTGTTGTGCCAGTTCTTTGGTGGGCAGAACAACCAGAGCTCGCACTTGGCAAACTACTCGGTCTAACAGAACCTGCCAAAACAAAGGCCAAATGAGTCCCTGAAAGCAGTGGGGAGAGAAGGGGGTTTTTGTACCCATCCTAGTGAGAAAACACGGGCTTGACACATCCTCAGTTTTATGCTTCCATTTTACTCCCTTCCACCCTCCCAACTCCTCATGCTGTGCCTGCTGTCTGAGGAAAGGAATGGGATGCTGACTTGAAGGTCCCTCAGACAGCTCTGAGCTAAACACCTGCTGCCTTACATGCTAATTCCTTGGCTTTTTGTCCCACTTCCAAGTTCAGGTGTCACTTGAACAAAAGCAACCTCAGCAACCCTACAGACACTTCCCTGGGGGTGAACTCACCTGCACAATGGGTATGACAAAGGACAGGGTTTTACCACTGCCTGTGGGTGCTGAGACACAGATGTCCTTGGGGCGATATCCCCCCTGCCCCATCAGATACCCGTTGGAGGCACTTTGGAGAATGGCAGGAATCACCTCTGCCTGAACTGAGCAAAACCAGAAACAAACAAACAAACAATTAATGAACTCACTGATACCATTAAAATGTTATATAAAGCATTCTTTAAACAGGAAGACACATGCAGGGGTCCCAGCATAACCCTGATGGGCCTCTGACACAGCCTATGCTCCAGGCTCAGCAAGACTAAGCAATCGACTGAAGGTTCACCTTCTTCCCTCCTGTCCTTATCCTTGCTTCCAGCTATGCTTTCTACTTATTTAGGAGCTGACATTTATTGTACTTGTTTGCAAAACTGGTAAAGTAATGGAAAGCCAACAGATTTCTTTTTTATTTGAAGTTTTTCTGGTGTTTCAGTGAGTTGCATGCGTTCCTAGACAGCTCTGATCAGCAGAAGAGATGGTGGAAGGACCTAAAACATATTCTTGGCATAGAGAGGAAAAATGTTAGGACACGCGTAAGACTTCCCTCTTTGGGCAGCTCTGAGCCATAACTTCAAGACTCCCTGTTGTGTGAAGCTGCAATTATGAGCAGGTAATAGACTTTTACTCATCCTAGTTAAAGGTTTGAAAATGAAGAGTTAGAGGCAGTACAGTCACTTCCATCCATTAAACTTGCTTTTGGCCTACATTTTACCTGACTACATAAAATATACAGCACCACAAACTCCTTAAGTCAGTTTAGAAAGAAACCAGAGCACTGTGAAGGTACCTGGGAAGAAGGACTCTATGCCATTCATTTGCAGCTTTCTCAGCAGCTTGGGGTGAATCCCTGGGACATCTCTGATTGGACATAGGTTATCTTTGATGCGTTTCTGCACTCGTTTGGGTTGAGCAAGCCACTGAGGTAGGAAGGGCTGAACCTGAGGTGGAGAGAGGAGAATATGGCAATGCCATACTGAAAAGAAGCCTGTTCCTTCTTGACCATCATTGAACTTCAGTCAAACTAGTTACCTTCTGCACTGGCTTGCTGTCATAGTCTCCAAGGATCATCAAACTGGAGGGTGGACAATTTGCCTCTTCCACAGAGGCTGTTAAGGACAACTCCTCCTTTGTGCTTTGGTTTCCTTCAGTTCCTTCCCTGTTCTCTTTCTTCCCTGTTTCAACTCCTTCTGTTTCCTCATTTGTCTTCTTCCTTTTAGAAGATTTGTTTTTAAAGTTGTTTCTGTTTTCCTGTTGGTTGATGTCTTTGTCAGCATCTGGAATTTAGATAACAGGAATGCAGAGCTACAGTTAGAATGTTACAGAAAAGGGATGTAGGCAACGTTTTACAACACAGGACTTGAGCACAACTTGCAAATTCCTCTTTCTTCCTACATCCAGGTGCGAAGCCAAACATTTCCTTGTTGGTATGGAAGCAGTAAGACTGAGATGACATGCTTCCCTCCTCCCCTTACAATAAATTGATCCTCACAGGTTGCAATATTGGGCTTTCCCCTAAAAAATTAATTACCTGGGAAACATATTAAGCAGATGAAAACAAAATCAGGTAAACTGGGCAAGGTACTCAAAGAGCATCCTTAGTCCTTTTTTCTCTGGAGAGCTGTCAACCACAATAAAGCAACGTCCCACAGCCTCAGTTCATCATTACCTGCTTCAGTCTTCTCTTGCTGCACTTTCGATTTTCTTCTACTTTTCTTCTTTTTCGTGGGGCTGCTGCCATCTGCTGTCTCCTCAGGACCTGCCTTGCCTTCAGGAGAGCCGCGAGGCTGTTTTGTCTTTAGCTTCTTTTGTCCTTGCACACTGCGCTGCTCTTCACTCTCTCTCTTTCCTTTTCCTTTCCCTTCCCCGCGTTCACCCCCAGGG